TTTCAACATCAATATTTCACTGAGGAATTGAAAGTGTGGGGGGATGCAGCTACAGGGGTGTTCAGTTAACCATGAGATTACACACTGTAGAAGGCATTTGGTTAATGTAATTAAGAAAACCCTATGGTGGGAGACACAGAGCATTAGTGTCCAGGATGTGCAGTTCCGCTGTGGCCTCGTCCTGCCCTACGCACACAGCCTGGATTTACTGATCATTGCTTTTGTGTGCAATGAAAGCTTTGGTTTAGTTTAAGATGTAGTTTGTTTAAGCATAAACAAATTCATCTGAACATGTGAATACTTAACTGGTTATAAATAACTGAGCTCGTACACAGATTTGTGGAAAAGAGTTACCAAACGTAATCTTTCTTTCAATTGGTGTACTGTATATACCAGAATGTTTATCAGTGTTATCTGTACATTTCATTTAGTATTTGAAAGAAGAAAAAACAACATACTTTATTCTTAGTCTTATTTGGTACTACTTCCTGAAGCTGCAGGGCCAAAATTTAGCTCCGGGAGCTCGCCTCCAAAAATGGCTGAGGCAGTGGAAACAAAAGCAGAACCAATGACAGGGGGGTACCGGTTCTGTTATGGGTTAATGGGTTCCTACAGTGGAAAAGGCCTATTATAGAGCTTCAGAGGTTCTCTGCAGAGATGGAAGAACCTGATGGATGGATGACCATCTCAGCAGCAGTCCATCCATCAGGTAGACTGGTAGAAGCCACTTTGAGTAAAGCTGTTTGGTGTTTGACAAACACCATTTAAAGGACTCTGGGAGTCAGTTTTTGTTTTTTTTAATTAATTTGCTAACATTTCTACAAACATATTTTCACTTTGTCATTATGGATTATTGAGTGTAGCTTGAAATGGCAGTTTATCCATTTAAATTTTAATACTGTGCAAAACTGAAAAGGCCTGATTACTTTCTCAAGCAACTAACTTTTAATTTGCTCCTTTATTTTTCATCAGACATTGCACTTGCAAAGTTAACATGCTCCTATATTTTGCTTTCTGTGGTTTGGAGTTGCACTGTGTTTGGGGGATTTCCCAGTACTTTCCTCATAGTTTGTCATCTTTTCTACAAAAGCTTTCTGTCAGTTTTTAGGGTTGGTGGAAGAGTAGGATACTGATTTGACTTAACAGTAACAGGGAATACAGAGTCTCTCATCACACAACTGCACCCCACAATTTCCCTCTCCCTTGTGAATTTTCATAGTTATAATAACTCACCGCCCCTACTATTCTGGAGAGATTAATAAACTTCTCATTGCTGCCACACAGGAGAAAAGAAACCTTTGCTCTGTTTAATGACAACTGTAAAGTGGAAGCAATCATGGGATGCCTCCCATGACATTTCCCCCGTTCCTGTCCGCTCCACTTATCTTAGACAAATGGCCGTGCCAGGCCACTATCGAGATGAAGCGTTTTCCCCGAGTCATTACGTCTGTCACCGAGGCCATTTCCATATTGAAAAATCTGAAACAATAAACGACGCCTGAGCCTTTAATAACTGTGAGGGAATCATATTTGGAAAATTGCATTGAAGCAATAACCTTTTCTCCCTGTAATTAGATGACAGAGAGGTCCTGGTTTTAATTAAGTCAGCAATTTATAGTCTCACGGCCATACCTCAGCATGCTGATTAGTATAGAAGGGATCACAGAACAGCGTTGCCTCAATTTGAACAGATTTGATCTAGTAATTACTGTGTTATATGGCAAAGGCCGCAGCAAGTCTCAGACTCAAGACTCTGTTGTTGCAGTGCTCCTTGAAGCATGGCCCTTCTCATCGTTACTCGAGCTGCAAATATACGGCAAGCAAGTGTCTGTCTGAATAGGTCTTCAAAGGAGGTCATCAACAGAGGACATAATGTTTGAGGAGGCATATTAAGGTGGAATTGTGAATATGAGGCTCTGTGTGTGGGTGTGCTTTAGAGGGGATTTGTTTGGATGCAGCATCATTTTATGCCAAATCTTAATTGATCCTCTTGGTCACTATTAACTGTTAACATTTGCAGGAGGGGACAGAACAGTTAAGGATGCTGCTTTAGTGCTGTGTTAATAAACATGGCAATTTACTGTCAGTTAATGTCCTGACAGGTCGTAATGAAGACCATGAAAAGAAGATTAGCTGGAGCTGTTATAGTAGACTGTCTGGGGACCGTCATCATGAGACTGCAGGGACCGGTGCTTGTTGTGTGAGCTGGCATGCTCTGGCTCTCTGTAGTCATCCTCATGATTGACATTAATGGTCCGGTTTTAGGAGAAGAATTGTAAATTTGTGTTCTCTCTTTTGGGAGTATGACATTTATCACATTAGAAAGACATGCATTCATAGGCGATCACAACAATAGCACATGGCAGTCCCTTTGACACATTAGTGACCTCAAACAGATGCTTGTGATCTGTGCTGCTAATTTCATTGGCTTCTCTGACTAACCACAACAATATGTTTACAGTATGGTTAAAGGCCATTGTGTTGAAGAACAGGGATAAGAAATGTTCAAAAGTGCTGAATTGTATCATGTTTAATACTAATTTGATCTTTTTCTCTAACTCATCAGTTAATAACTGTAGCTTGCAACATTTAAAATAAGCCACACAGTCAT